TCTTGGTCCAGTTCAAAGCTCCATGGAGTCAGTCAAAAGAATCCCACAACACAAGTAGGAAATGCACGTGGCTGTTCACAATCACTTCCCTGTAAACAACCCCCACTCTTAGCAGTGATGTGCACTAATTGCACAAGAAGAATAGAACCTAAGCTCACATATGCAGAGCCCATTTCTTTCACAGTTCACATGTGCAGATCGTTTTCTTACATGTCAAAACTAATTGAAATGGCAAAGTGCTCCTCACAGTAGGAGGACGCACAAGTTTTCTGCATGTCCAACGATAGATGCCAGCAGAAGGAAAATGTGTTTCTGAGATGCAGTTCATTAGCTTTCTCAGCAGCCTGGCAGAGGTCAGAAGTTTCTCATTTCGTTTCTTTCTAACCATACTGCAGAGTACAGGAAAGATTTTCTTTCTGGAACAATTACATCATATTGTGCTTTTATAGACTGAACTATACCACAATTAAAATGAATAATTTAACAATTAGCTGCAGACCAAACTCTATTTGCATGCTTACAGCAGAAAAGATTGCAAACTGTAATTGCCTATATTTATATAAAACTCTGAAGTACGTATCCTTTTGGTTAGCAAGTGGTGGTACGCAGACCTCGGTGTGCCAGCAAAATTAAAATAAATTGCATGATGCAAAACCTTAGAACTTAACATTAGTTCCAGTTTTAAACCAGCTCTCACCACAAACTTGATCTAGTTTCAATTCCAAGCAAGTATTCAGGTATGCCCATCCACACAAAAGAGAAACTTCCCAGCAAAGCCATGCAGCACAACCAACACAGCCCCAGCACTCACACGTCTGCAACAAATCTGTACACCTCATACGAAACATTTTCAACTTCTGATAGTAAGGAGCAGCCCCAGGCACACAGGGATACCCAGATGGGAGCAAAGCAGTGCCTGCAGTCTTGTGGGTCCCCCAAGACACACATCCAACATCCCAAAGCAGCCCTACTGTCTCCTCCCAGCTGAGCTCCAAGAAGGAATTCAGCACGTACCTTTGTGAGCAGGTGCCTGTGGGGCTGTGTGGGAGAGACAGGGCTCGAAAAGGAGGGAGACAAATCTCACATCACAGCAGAGAGCTGCTGCGTGCACTGAAGTGCTGGGGCTATGAATAGAGCTGGGCTCCTGGCTGGAACATGGCGCTGCTCAGGTGTCAGGCACAGGGCCACGTCAGGACAGCTGGCACTGGGGCTGCTCTCCTTCCCCTGTACCAGGGAAGGATATGCTATTGCTGGTTCAAGCCATTCAAGCTGGGCTCAGAACCAAGGCTGCTATCTCTACAGGCAGGCATTGCCCAAAACTTTCTGCTTTTCTACACCTTAAGAGCCAAAACTGTAAAATGACATTTTGTAAGGGAACAAGGTGGGGACAACAGGACAAGGAGGAATGGTTTCAAACTATAAGGGAGATTTAGACTGGATATAAGAAAGGCTTTTTACAATAAGAGTGGTGAGGCACTGCCATAGGCTGCCCAAAGAGGTGGGCATCTCCAGGAATGCTCTCCATCCCTGCAGACAGCCAAGGTCAGGCTGGATGGGCTCAGAGCACCTGATGGAGCTGCAGGGGCCCCTGCTCATTGCAGGGGGGTTGAACCTGATGGCCTTCAAGGGTCTTTTCCAACTCAGGCAATTTTAAGACTCTGAAAAATGAGTAGTTCTTTCTATAAGGGATGACCAGCTTTTGGAGGAAGGATTTCTGCTTCCAAATTATCTATGTACTTTTAATCAGCTGTAAGCCCTGACCATCAACATGCTTATGCTGATGTAAATCAGAAGCAGATCAACTAAGTTGGGCTGGAATAACAGGACTGCACCAATCTCCATCAGCTGCAGATCTGCTCAGATAGTGGTATACTCTAAATTGAAGGGAGAAATCAAGAGGGCCATAATAAAGCATGTATCCACATGCTTAAACAAAGGTGAGAAAAAGATTAAGCACAAATTAAGGTTATAAAACGGATTGATGTTGAGCCTATACTTTTAACTGAGAAAGACACTAAATTTTCGGAATGCTCTTTTTCAAGTGGTATTAATTTATTTATTCGCTGAATAAATTGTTTGATTGATCATACTAGCTCTTGAGAAAATTCAAAATGAAATGTCTCTCCTTATCTAGATTTTTTGTCAGATGGTTCTATTGTGGGGTTTTTTCAAAAGTGGTGAGGCTTGTGATCAGGAATGTTCAATAGTCAATAGCAAATCATTGTTTTTAGGAGAAAATTAAGATGTACATCTTCTTGAAAAGCAGATTTCATATAATTTGTGGACAAAACTAAGAAAAAAAATGAAAGTGATGAAAGTTTACTCATGACAGGAAATGCGAGAGATCAGATTACAAAGAAATCTGTGGTCTGAACTCCCAGATTGTTCCTATTAAAGAGCAGCTTTCTCTTAGAAATATAAGATACCCCAAGAAATATAAATACCCAACCCCATACTGTAGCTTTCACAAAAGCCAGGATGGAACAGCAAACTGATGAAATGCCACCACTATGATAAAAATGAACCACATCCCCTAAAACGCCTTGTTCTCCTGTTACATGCAACAGCTTATAGCACCATGTTGGTTAACACTGAGCACGTATGTAATAAATTTTATTTATAGGAAACCACTCTGCTACCATAATAATAAACACATTTCTTTGCTGAGTATATTTCTTCAGCTAATTCATATAAAAAGTCCATCCCACAAAAATGCTAGCTGGCACTTTTAAGGCAAATTCCTTTCTATTGCTCTCAAAACTCCGAATATCCCCTGAATCCCTGCCTCCTCTAGGGCAGGCAGTACTTTCTGATAGCACAGGCAGAGCAATCCAGCAGTGAACAGGGCTCAGGCTAGGTCAGCTGGAATTCAAAGCTTTCTCTGCTTTCCACTTCCTCCATGTAATTAAGCCATAATCCTTTCACTTTGATATCATTATCTGTTGTCATGGCGATTTTAATTACGAAAATGAATGGCTAACAAGTAGGCAAAGACAAAAGTTTTTGCTGAACAAGGCTAAGTTAAGAGCAAGAGGAAAAATGTCTGTGGCACTACAACAAATGCGTGATCTTTTAACAGCAAGCTGTAAAACAATTAGGAGTAGGTGGGAGAGGCATTTGATGCAAATATTTCAGTGTTTTGGAAATATGTGTTGAACTTAATGTCTTAGAAAGAATTTTTGCCTGGCACCAACCATATAATGCCTTCTGTCACCGTGTGGAGGAAAATCCCTCTCTGAATCTCAGCTTCTCATAATTATCATCAAATGGAATCATAGAATGGCTTCGGTTGGAGAGGACCTTAAAGATCACGCATTTTCAACCCTTCAGCTGCCAACCACCAGATCAGGCTGCCCTGGAAATTAACCTACTGGATAAATACCACATTCCTAAGCAAGAGTCCCACCAGTTCCCAAGAGTGTGCTTCGCCTAGGAAAGATTTCAGATTACGACCTCAATCGAAGTTAGCAACCCCACTGTCATGGGCCATGGTTCTGCAGTTTTGCTCTTTGTCAACAGATGCACAGTTGTACAGAGATGCTTCATGAAGCAGTGGTACAAAAGCATAGCTCATACACAGCACACTGGCTGGCAGGGGCTGCAGTATGTGTAGGCTCTGGACCTCATCACATTGGCTGCTCTGCAAGTGGAGGTTGCTGTATTCATCATAGAATGGCTTTGCTTGAAGGGAACTTTTAATGATCATTGAGCTCCAGCCCCCCTGCTGAGGGCAGGACTGACAACCAGTAAGTAGATCAGGCTGCCCCATCCAACCTGGCTTTGAATACCTCCAGAAATGGAGCATCACAGCTTCTCTAGTTACGTTAGAACTAAGCTATGATATTTTGGTAGTTGTATCTCCAAATACAGCACTAGTTCAAATATGAGAAAACAGAAGCAGGGAAATTTACTTGACCAGGGAACCCAGCTTAATCCTATTATCTCTTATTTCACTCTGAACAAAACATTGATCTTTTTTCCTTAGGAAAAGTGCTGACCTTTAGCACAGGGCAAGGGCAACTCAGACATGCCAGTGTCCAACCATCCAAGGAGCAGCACCCCTGCAGTCCCCTGCATTGAAATCTCTTCCTGGCTCTGCTGACCTGATTCCCAGGTTGCCTCATGGATAATGTGGCATGCCAGCCACCCGCTGCTTTCTCATTTAAATAAATGAGAAAGTTGAGGCTAAATTAACACTCCAGCAGAGGTAATAAGGGCCAACTCAGCAGCTGCCGTGATATATGCAAATTGCAGTTTTACACATTAGAAGCTAGATGTTGCTTAATTTGTAAGTCTTTCTGTCTTGGATATTAAAGAGCCTTTGTCAAATTCAGGCAATCTGAAAAAATAAAAGTAAAAAAGGGCCACAGAGAGCCCCCAAAGTCAGCAGTTCACCAGCACCTACCCTCTTCCTTCAGAAATTTCCCTCCTGATCCCTTGACATGCATTTATTACTGAGTTGCACTGCACTGCCTGATGCCTTTAGGCAAGGATCTGCTGATTTCCAGCAAACACACTGCCTGATTGAGGAGGCACCAAGAGCCCTTTAGTACAAACAGAAACCAAGATTTTTTTCTACGTTTTCCCCCTCCAGTTTTGCCACCATTCAGGGGCTTAACATCCACCAGGTTTCTTTCTTTAGGAATGAAACTGTAGCAGAGCAAAGGGAGGCCTGCCATAGCAGCCAGTTAATCAGGCAGAAGGAAAGGGCAGATAGGAGAGAATTGTCCTCCTTTTAGATCCATAGAGATAAGAATGGAGGTGGTAAAGAAACACACAGATTGCTGCTTTTTTTTTTTTAATACACAAAGTTGTTCTGGACATTATTATTAATGCTTTTAATAAAATATAAATATTAATATGTGCCAGGGTCAAAAAATACTTCTAAGTGGAGATGGTAGCACGATGGAAAGCACAGCAATACCATTACAGCTGCAACTGAGGGTTTGCTCAAATGCAAAAAGCCAGGTGCACAGAAATAAAGGAAAGAAGCTGCTTACCTTCAAAAGACCTGAGATACGCAGGAATCTCCAGCAAGATATCATTGCTTCCATTACCAACTTTTAAATGAGGTCTGGGGAGGGGTGGATCGTGGCTCCACCCTTTCAGGTCACTCAGGTGCATTGCACTGCATGTAGGTGAACTCCACTGGGTTGGTCCTGCCTTCCCACCAGATGCTCAATCACTGCTTCAAGCCATGACTTAGCATTTCCACTCCAGAAACCACAACTGAAAGTTACACACAGAAGTACATACTCAAAACAGCAGAACTTGAAGCCATTATGGCCACACAGAATTAAAAGAAAAAAACCTGTAATGTTCCTCAGGTTTGCATATTCTGTTAGTAGAAAAACACTGTGAATCACACTTCGTCACTTGGTACAAACCCCTGCCATTCTCTTGGTCTTCATCCCTCACCACCAAAGCAGGATGATGATGATGGTTTCCTACCAGCTGGAGAGATTAATTCACTAAGCTGGAGGGTCCATGTGCAAACAGAGCAAATTAAGACACATATACAGTTTTGCATATTCCAGTAAACTCGGCATTTGCTGCAGTCCTATAATGAACACAAAACTGTGCTAAAAAAAAAAACAATGTATGAAAAGCCTTTTCTTCAGCAGTAGCAAAAGAATTACCAAAATACAAAGCCAAGTGTATATTACTTTTTTGACAAAGCAAGGCAATAACTCAGATATACAGACTCCTCCTGTTACAAGCAGGAGACATTTGTCTCTTAAATATCAAAAAGATGCTGCTTCATAGATGCCCAGACTCAAGCATCCTGCTGCAGATTGCCCTTCTGAACTATTCCCCCCCTGCCCCAGCTAAAATTGATATTTGTAGAGTAGTGCTAGAGTTTCAACTCACACAATTAAACTATGTGCTAAAGGCAAGTGATCTGAAATACCCACTCATCCATCCATCCATCCATCCATCCATCCATCCATGCTTTCTTTCTTCCTTCCTTCCATTCATCCACATTGAGGTGAAAGGAAGACCATCTAGCCAGGTACTATATATTCTCTTTCATCCCAAAGGTTGAGTCACCAGCTGTAGGTTTTTGAGTTCAGCTGTGAGGGAGCTCATAAATCAGGAGGTAAAAGCCTGGAAAGATCTGCAGCCTTGTCACCTGTTTAATTATTTGCCTGCAGTTGCCTTTAAACATGGTGCCTATTTTATTCAAACCTTGCTACTGAATTTAATGGCTTGTTCTAGAGCAGTACTGCATCACAGAAAATGAACAGGAATTAGAATCATAGCACCATTAAGGTTGAAAAATATGTCTGAAATCATCTAGTCCAGTCATCCACCTGTCACCAATACTGTCCATTAACCATGTCCCTCTGTGCCCAATCTCCACATTTCTTGACACCTCTGGGGACAGTAACTCCACCATCCCCAGACAGCCTGTTCCAATGCATTGCCACTTTTTGGAAAACAATTTTTTCCTAATATCCAACCTGAGCCTCCCCTTATACAATTTGAGGTCATTAGGCTCCTTCAAAAAAGTGAAATTTTTACATTTGCTTGATTAAAAAAAAAAAAAAGGATGAAGAAATGTACCATCTTTCAAGTTACACCCCACGTGGCACTCTTCCAAACCTCTTTCCATATGTTCTTAAGTGTTGAAAGCCCATATGTTCCATATCTCGCTGTCAAATTCTCTGGCTCTCTCCCAATGGCTCTTACAATACAGTTGGGCATTGTCTACTGGCAAAAGTAAATCTCTCAGATTGATAATTAAAAATATATTTGATCATCTTATAGATACAAACAGCCAAGGGGTGCAGCGCTGAATGAATCATTCACACTGACAGATTTTGGAACAGCAGAACGTATTTCTGGTGTCACTGAAGTTGCCCCGGAAATTCTGGTTTGTTGCAGAAGGTATTGCTGAGGAGCTGTGGGACAAGGTGCAGAGGTGGAGACTGACGAGCCATTCAGGGACCTCACAGAAACTGCAGATGCTACTGACTCTAAGGCAGAAACAAAACCACAGATAGCTTTGATATAAGAGTACCAAAGACCGTAGCCAACATATAGCAGATGTCTTGTGTTGGGGCTAAGTGAGAGCCGGGAGGGCGAGCATTCAGATTCTGTAACTTCGGATGTTAGCACATGCTGCTAATTTATAATAAGATCAAATAGGAAGGTTGTTAAAGGCCCTGAGAATTGAAGATGTCCCTCTCTAAAGCTTTCTAACAATCCTTTGCTCTCTTGGGCTATAATGTCATCATCATCTCATGTATGAAATACTTTGGGTGCTTGCAGATGCTCTGTCCTCTGTTTTACTGCAGTACTTCTCATTTGTCATCCCCTTTCCCAAGGCATGCTTCTGGGTAATTATCATGTGCTTCAGTTCAGCCAAGGAGGGAAACTGGTGAATGCGTTTCCCTTGCTAGGAGCTATGAAGTAAATTGTAGCAGATATTGCAAAAATCAAATAACCAAGAGGTTTTTCCCCTGATGTGCACTTCACTTGATGGATATTCTTTACTTTCTCCAGTGCTACTCCTGATTGACAGCAGGCTGAGAATCAAGCCTCCCATTCACTAACTGATGCAGCTGTTTTGCTGAACCAGCTTCCTGGCTGGGAATGGATCCAGTCAGCTGTGGATAACAAACCCAATAATAGAGGTTTCAAAGATTTCATCCTTTTTCTTTTTTTTTTTTTTTTTATATTTACAAAGTTACTTTTCTTACAAAATCTGTTAGGCAGATGTTAGGAAGTAATTACTATACTATACATGAATTGGAAAGAAAATGCACGTCAGCCATACACTGAACATGTGTGAGTGGCTGGAGCAGAGAAACCAAAGATAAGTGAGAAAAAAAAAGTAAAATGTATCAATGCAGAATCTGCCAGAATTTACCATGGGGTTATAAAGAAGAAATAGTACAAGGCAAGCTCTTCTCATCAGCCATAAGTCAGTGTATATCCAAAACAACAAGCCTGCTACCTTCTCTAACAGCGGCTGAGTTATACTCACCATTGGTAGATGGAAGTTGAATTTGGCTTTGACCAAGGAGGTACAGTTCCCATTAGTTTCCCAGAGAGGTTGTGGATGCCCCGTCCCTGGAGGTGTTCAAGGCCAGGGTGAACGGGGCCCTGGGCAGCCTGGTCCAGTATTAGATTGGAGGTTGGTGGCCATGCATTCGGCAGGGCGGTTGGAGCTTCGTGATCATTGAGTTCCCTTCCAACCCAAGCCATTCTGTGATCCTATGACTCTATGACTATATGATTCATAAACACCAAAGACCCTCCAGCCCATTACATCAGCAGTCAGTGTGATGGACAGAGCTGAAACATTCCGACACACATTTTTGTGCTCAAACATCCAAGAGCATCCTTAGATCACTGTACATATAGATGTAACTAGGAGTGACCATGAATTAAAACTCTTGCTTCCATCTATAAAGTTATTCTAATACAAACCAACTTCACACAGTTACGGCAGCAGTAAAAACATCCAAGAGATCAGCATAGAAAGCAAAAACCAGAGGGTACATTTTGCAGTTATCCAGGCTGAAGTTTTGTCCAGGACACGATACTCCCTGTACTTGTAAATCTGGAGGATCTTTAAGACCCAAATTTTACTGCTTGGGTTGTTTGTAGGATTCTGACAGATAGATTTTGAGATGAGACTGGAAATAGTAATTGTATAATTGGGTAAATAAAATCAGGAGCCCTTAGGAATAGATTCTGCCCTCAGCTCACCTCCAGTAATGAACCCTGCTATTCTCTGTCCTGATTTCTCCCCTGTAAAATAAAAATGTCCTTCCTGCTGGAAGTGTTTAGAAATCTCAGCTTCAAAGCAGCAAACTAGAGTTAAATAGAACATTTCACTAAGTAATAATAAAAATACCAGGCGTCTTTTATGACATTTTCCATCACCAGCAGTTAATGCATTTCATAGACCAGGCCGGTATAATTAACTTTATCTTCCAGTTGTGCCAGAGCCACTGAGGCCAAGTTAGGAAGTAACTCACCTGTGCCCCCACAACTCCCTTATGATGCATAACACATCCTTGGAGGTTGTGCTGATACGCTTAGAACCAATTTCATTCATTCAAAATATTCCATAACAATAATCACAGCCCTCTAAAATTCCATCTCAGTGTTTACGAATCTATAAGCACTACCAAAAGAAAAGTTACAAAAGAAGCCTTAAAAATCACAAGCCAGCCTGGGTGTTCAATATTTCACATCTTAATTACAATATAAAACCTCATTTTGAGAAATGTAATGAAAGAACTGGGGCTTTTAAACAACATTTGTCACAAAAAAAGGAGCTTAAACATTTGGGTTGTCAAGGCAGAAACAAGCACCACAGACACATTTTCTCCTTATGGGGATTCATCAAGGTTGTGCAGTGCAGCTGTTGTCTTACTAAAAGAAAGTTTCGGCCCCTGGCTGGAAGAAACAGAAACGTAATTATGTTATGATGAGCTGGAAAACATGCAAAGAAAAATTGGAATGCAAAGCATGATAAATGATGCATTGTCAGTTGCAGAACAGCAAGAAAACCAGGCAGCACGATAATAACTCTTCTCCAGACAGTGCTTCCAGTTTGGCTACCAAAAGAAAGCACTGCTCCAACCACAGCTTTTGCAGTATTATTTTGTCCTGGTACAATGATGTTGGTGACGCACTGGCACTGCTGCCAGGAGGTGCTGGAGTCACTGGGTCCCTGAAGGTGTCCAACAGCCATGAGATGTGGCACTGAGGGACGTGGTTATGGGCATGGCGGGGTGAGTTGGGGTTGGAATTGGTGATCTTAGAGGTCTTTTCCAACCTGAATGATTCTATGACTCTCTCAGTGGTGGCAGGGCTACATGCAGCCCTAGGACATGCCATCTTGTAGCAGACTCCTCAATGTCTGCCCTCGCAATGACCAGGACAGGATTTCCCTTCACGTGTTGCAGCAGTGTGCTTGTCTAGGGGACCAGACAGCCGGGCCGGTTCTCATGGTGTAAGCAGATTCAGAGGGAAAATGACTAATTATGGCTCTTTATAGGAATCTTTTCTTTAGAAACCAACACCGCCAGGCCGCAGAGATAAGACGGGATATTTGTTTTAAGAAAACCATCTAACGATTAACCGAAAGTTGATAGAAATAATTGTTCAAAACCACCCACAGTCACTGGGGAGAGCGGCTGGCAGGGCTCAGCGTGTCGGCGGAGCTGTTGCTGTGCCCTCTAGTGCACGACAGCTGCAATTTCTCTGCCATTTCTAAATGCCAGCAGTTGTGCACCCGAGAAAAATGGACTTTCTCCCTGCCTTGGTGGGACGCTGGTAAAGTTACGTGGTTCCGAGCTTAAAAAAAATCCTAATTATTCTCGAGCAGCGAGCTGTTAGGAGATCTTCCCCTCTACAGACCGAACTTGAGGGCAGAGTTTCAGCCTTTTGGGTTGAATTTGCTACTTTTGGAAGGTGCTGGCTGTAATATTCATATATGCCTCAGAATCTGGTATTAATATTCTCGGGTTGGTTTTTTGTTGTTGTTGCTTTAATTAAAGAAACAAAAAACAAAAAGCAAAACCACCAAGCCACCAAACAGAAAGTGTACTGCTTCTGTAATTAAAACCAACCAGCTCTGAAATTAGCATCTATGTAGGATGGGTCATTTTCTACACATCGGTTTAAAGGATTGAAACTTGTATTCAAACTGTGTGATTTTAAGCAGATATTTTTGGTCCTGTCAAATAAGTAGCACAGGCAAGGCATTCTTCTCTCATGTGCTTGCAGACACAGAGTTATAGGTGACTGCTAGTGACAGCAGGACTTACAATATCATTATCGCTCTTCTTACCTACAAAAAAAAAAAAAAAAAAAAAAAAAAAAGCTATCTTTATCACTAAATATTTTCGTTTTCATGATAAAAATGCTTTATTACTTCATACAAGTTTGCATCAGGGTTATTAAACCACTTGCGGCTTCCCTTACTAATTCTATTCCCTCTGACTTGGGAGAATGAAAACAGAAAAAGAAATTACTGACAAGCATCAACCGATGAAGCCTGCAAACAGCTCCTGTGCTGCTCAGATGCTCTGCAGTAACCCTTCAACCTTTCTCCATTTAACATGACATTGCTTTGGGAAGAGGTACATGACACTGCAAAACCACAGAGCGAGTTATAAGTCCTTCCAGTACTGTTAAACTTAACGTGATCAATAAGATGCCATCCTTCAGCATTCCCTTTTTCAACACAATCTGCCAGACACCAAGTTTGGTTTGTGCCCACAAGGCATTAAAATTGATATTTTACAGGAAAGCACAACCACTTTATCCCAATGCCCACTCCTGGACATGTCTTGTGTGGGGCAGCCAAAGAGAAGGGCCAAACCAAAACAACAACTGCACACCGACAGCTTTGGTGACACTGTGTTCTCTGCTTTTCACTCGATTTCAATTGCTTCGTGCTCCATCTCACAGCATTTCCCATGTGCTCTCCCTTGTGCTGCTCTCCAGCAGCTCCCTGCCTGTTGTCATTTCAAGCATTTTCCTGTTGGGGCAGATTCTTCCATCACCACAAACTACTTGGAGATTTTATCAATGCATCTTCCTCCTCCCCTATTAATTCTTCCCCCTTTTCATCATCAGAAGTTCTCTGTGAGTTCTTGGTGAGCAGAATGCCCCATGGTTTAGCACCCACTCCCATCAAATTCCCTCCTCAAACAAAAATGCTCCCTCGCAATATGAAAACATCAGGTTGTCAATAGGCCACACAAAATCTCATCACCTCCACATGCCAACAGGATATGACCCATTAAAAATTCATTTCATGGCCGAAAGCATAATGACAAAGAATATCCTATCTCAATCCCTTGCCCCACCACCAGAATTACACTTCAGCCCACCATGACATCTCCCACCCATCCTGCTCCCTCCCTTCTCTTTCCGTTTGTCGTGATAAAAACTTTAAAATTCAGGTGTTTTTTTCTGTCATTTCAGCAACTTTTCTTGAAGTGTGAATTCTTCTCCTACAATTTGCCTCTTTTGAGGGTCTGTCCTTCTCTCTATGCTCCTATGGGTACCTTTGGCATCAGTAGTGATGCTAAAGTTAAGCAGTGCTCATTCCTTAATAAAGCAAACATCTTTCCCTGCAGTGACTGAGTTAGTGCACAGACCAAGTGTATTTCTATTTGTTATTAGGAAGTTGATTTAGGTTTAACTGCATTTCCACAATGTATTTCATCCCCAGAGACAAGAAAAGATGTTGCAGTCTCTTAAATACCACATGCTTGTGCTCATACATCCCTTTGATTTCTCACAGGGAGAGTGGTATGCAATAATTGCTCTGCTCAAGCCTTGTATATTGTTTTTATGTCTGCTAGGTGAATCCTTCAGACTCAATCCAGTGTTCTCAGGTGGCTTTTCATTCACAGCTTGAGCTCCGTGCAAGTGGAAGGTAGCTGGCCATTGGTTGCTTCTCACTTATTTTTATCCCAAGATGGGAGGGAGGTGTGTGCAAAGAAATGTGCCCAAATTCCTGTGGGCTCGGGGAAAGAGGGAGAAGGGAAGGAAGGGGTGGTTCATGCTCCACTCATCCACTTCTGCGCAAATCTCTGCAGGGAGGTAGCTGGGTGTCAGTGCACTGACCGAGGTGGGTTCTCAAAGGCAGGATCTGAGTCCCAGCAAAGGTCATTTCTTTCAGATGCTATTTTTGTCCTGAAGTATAGGCAGCAATCTTCCCTTGTCTCCCCCACCTCGCTGGGAACTCAAATACTCCCAGCACACAGCAGGAGAGGAGCTGCTCCTGGCGTCAGGTTTCATGGAGCGCCGCAGGGAAGCAGTGAAGTGTTCCTGGCAGACCAGCCGTGTGAGCAGGGGAAGAGGGTGCTTCCTTCTTTCCTGGCTTTTTTATCCAGTTATTATCTGATCTGTACCCTTTAAATAAACATACAAGTCCTTGATCCTCCCAGCAACGAAGCTGACTTCAATGGCTCTTTAATAGCACCCGGCCCTGCCCAGACAGTAGCTAGCCCAGTAAATCATAAACTCTGCATACAGTTCCCAGAGCTCTGTTAAGACCCCAACTGACCTAAATCTCTCACGTTATGAGCAGCCATAAATGGGTGTTTTTTTCTTAAGCAATGCCAATTTTTTTTTTGCGGTATATAACTAAAACCCCCTTTAGGGCATTTAATTTAAATGGCACTGAAAGAGGAAGAAGTCTGCTTTTGATTTCCTTATTCTTTTTATATGGGTCATCTCAGAGGTTTTACATTTATTATTATTATGGTTCACATCTATTTCTTTCCTTTCTTTGGAGGCTTGGACTTGCTGAGCACACTGAATAGCATTAAAAACCATTACAAAGAGCTGCCTCTCCTTAAAAAGCCATGAGATCTTCAATTATATGCAGGCATCTAAGCAATTATTAGTGTCATGAAACATACTGAATCTGTGCTATTAATATAAACAGAATCAGAACCATAGAATCATTAAGGTTGGAAAAAACTTCTAAGACCACCAAGACCCATCCTACCATGCCCATAACCACATCCCTCGTTGTCACATCTCCATGGCTCTGGAACATCTCCAGGGGTGACTCCTTTGGCAGCCTGTGCCAGTGCCTCACTATCCTTTCTGAGAAGATATTTTTCCTAATATCCAACCTGAACCTTCCCTCATGCAACATGAGGCCAATAACTCTTGTCCAACAAGAACACAACAGTGTACCAAAGATGAACTCATACTGAACTCTGATACCCATCTTCTCAAAATACCATGGCTGCTGTCATGAAAAGGGGTTTGTTGGATGGAATGTGAATGAAAACCAGTTACTGGACTTCAATCTCCTGTCATGCTACCGATACTGCTGAGAGCACTCAACAAATACCAAACACTTACAGTATTAAAATGACAAAACTTCAGACTGGGTTTTAGGAAGAATTTATTCTGCAAAAGAGTGGTAATGCACTGGCACTGCTGCACAGGGAGTGATGGAGTCCCTGACCCTGGGGGTGCTCAAGAACCATGGAGATGTGGCACAGAGGGACGTTGGACTGGATGATCTTAGTGGTCTTTTCCAGCTTTAATGATTCTGTGTGATTCTGTGATTCTGTCAAAGCTCAGTATCTGGATGCCTTTGGGCTCGGGGAGCTATTTCAGCTCCTGGGAACCTCGCAGCAACAATTTACATAAGCAAATGTCATATGCCATAAAATATATCCCAAATTATACAGTTGCAACATATGTATTGCATATAAGCTATGATAATTAGGTGCAGGATATCTGTATAAATTATATCCTGCATTTTTAAATTGCTTTCCTATACCACAAATGGGGCTGCAAAACAGGGTGCTTGGGTGCTCCTCTGAGGCGGTGTCTGAAAGCTCCTATCTTCCTGGTGCGGCTTCAAGGGCTCACCTGGATCCTAAGAGCCAAGCGTGGATTTGGGACAGCGCGGACAGGTTGGCACCGGGGCAGCCGGGAGGCGGCAGGGCTTCGCGGTGATGAACCCTTTCCACGTTCAGAGGCGGCGAGCCGGGACCGCCAGCCGCCCGAACAGCACCGAGGGCAGCGATGCGAGCGGCGGGCGGAGCCGGCGGGGGAGGCTGAGCCGAGAGGAACCGAGTGGAGCCGCGGGGCGGGGGGGGGGGCCGGGGGCCCGCGCGCGGGGGGCAGCGAGCGGAGGGAACCACCGCGTCCCGGAGCCGCTCCCGCTCCGCACCGCGTGGCGAAGGAGCCGGGGAGGCTGCATGGAGCCGGGGGGGCTCCGCGCGACCTGGGCTGCAGCGGGTGCGCGGCTCCCTCCTCCTCCTCGCCCTCCTCCTTCTCCTCCTCCCCGCCGCTCGCAGGCAGCGACTGGGGAAGTTGCGCTCGCATCGGAGACGGCTCCGCGGCGGAGATCGCTTTGAGAAAAAAGGTCTCCCCCTCTCCCTCCGCTCCCCCCGCCGTCGTGGCCTCGACACAGTAAGTGGCAGGAAGGAAGTTTAGTTGCAAACAACCTGCGGCAGCGGTAACTTTGCGCTGCGTGCCTTCAAGGTGCCTTTGATGCGTGCGGCAGCTTCTGGCAAGTGGACCGCAGCTCTCCCAGCCGTCGGCCCTCCCTCTCCCCCCCCCTCCCCCCCCCACCCTTCCCAACCTTCCCTCCCACCACCACCGCTACTTCAGCCCACACACGAAAAAAAAAAAAAAAAAAAAAAAAAGTGATGAAGGAGAAGTGGTGAATTACCCAAGCGACTTTCCGCCGAGAGCCAGCGAGCCACCGAGAGGAGCTGCGGAGCGCTCCGGAGCTGCCCGGCACGGACCCAGCGGCACCGCAGCGCGATGCACAGAGCCTCAGCTGCTGGAGCTCGCCTTGCCATGCCGGCTGCTCACTAGCATGCAAACCCTCGCCCAGGATGAAAACAGGTTTGTGGCAGTTTGCTGGAGATGTTTCCTTCCCCGCTGCCGGCACTTTGCTGTGGGTGCCTGAGAAGATCTTAATGATGGCAGCGGGCACTTCTGCCGCGTTCCCTCCGCCGTTCTTCGGAGATAAATCTTTCATGCGGCTGTCTTTTCCTATCTGTGGCGGTTGCTGCACAATCTGCACTTGATTGCAGCTCAAATATTCTTTTTCAGATCCGCTTCGCAAAATGATGCAAAGTAAACACAGATGGGAGAAGTGAGGGAGAGAAAGCTGTGATGAAGTAGTGATGGTGGATGGATCTTCCCTCCTTCTCCCTCCAGTGCCTTCCCCCAAATGCGAGCCTTCCCTGCTATGGTTTTAAAGGAGGAAAGATTTGGGGGCTCTTTGGATGGAGGTTTGGAGGGATGCTTCCATCGGCGGCGCTTGCCTTGCTGACCAACTTCCTTCATGTCTGTGGCTTCCAAGCCAGTCAGCTCTGTCTCGCCTTCACCTGTCCTCAAGTTTCTTCCATCACCTTGCAGGTCATTCGTCCAGAATGCCCGAGGAAAGTTCACCAAAGCGGAGTCCTCAAAACATCCCATACAAGGACCTGCCCCACATCATCAACGCTGATGGGCAGCACCTCTTCTGCAGGTACTGGAAGCCAGCAGCAGCTGCCAGGTGAGCACTTTTCAGCAAATACGCTTTTTTGACTATCAGTAAGACTCTATGTTTTATAGCCTGGCTGCTGATGCCTAGCTGTGTGCACTGAGCTTTGCAGAGCCACTAAGAGATGTCTGTCACCTGAGAGAGCTCCAATTGTAATGATTGTATTCCCCAACCCTTTGTCACTCAAGCTCACCTTACAGATGTGAACCACAGTTACTCTCGCCCTGTGCACAGCTGCCTCGCTTGGCGCTTGTGTGTGCTACATCCAGAGAGGCACTTGAAGGAGGCTGATGCCTGTCAGCAACAAAGTGCCTTCAAACCAACAGCAGTCAGGGAGGGATAGGATGCCAACTCAGCAATATCTGCTCTTTTTAATTTCCTTAGTGTCAACAAATACAGCATCAGCATCGGAATTCAGTTTGATCAGTAACAGCAGAAATCTCAGGGCAGCAGGCAGGAGCTGGTTCAACTGTGTTGCTTTTTAACTGCTTTTTTAAAAATTTATTTATGGTCAGTAAATGATTTAGGAAGCTCTCACTGGGACCTCTCTGTGAGTTCAAAACTGAACTTGGTGGTAAACAGGCAAGGTGTCAGATAGAGACGTTTAAATAATGTCTTTTTCATAATTTAAATAGTCCCCTGAGTGTAATGGCTTTCCGTGCTGATTATGTGCTGATTATGATCTGCTATAGAAAGCTATCTGTGTTTCTCCCATAGTTATTTATGGCTGTTCATCTTGCTGCCAGTATCTGCTGTCAGATTCTGGCTTGACACATACTTGTGTTACCCTAGTTGTATAGGCAGCTACTTTACAAAATCTGGATATTGGTTGGTAGGTTGTTTTTGTGCAAGCCAATGGGAAAAGCTATGTTAATTTTTTAATTGTATTTTCTTTTTATAGCCGATAGGCAAATGTAAGAAAAGTTGTTCAAGCGGGAGTTTGAGTAGTCAGGAGTAGCACTTTCCCACACCACCCAATAGGTTGTATCCAAACCATCTCAGAGAGGTGGATACACACCCAGCTTTCCTGCCCTGGGTTTGGTGCCTGCCAACCAATGAGCCATGCAGTGACATGTGGTCAGGAGGTGGCCTGCACCTAAGCAACGTACATTGCCACGCTGTTCCCAGAGAGCAGGGCTGTGAGCCACCCCACGCAGCTCCATGGCACTCAGTAGGTTCTAGGACATGGGTCTTGGCTTAAGATCTGTGGTCCTACGATCCATGGACCTGGTCCACAGAGAGCTTTGTAGTTACTTCTCTTCACTGACTTTCAGGAGGAGGAAAGTTTTTGGCACAGATGTTTTCTGTATCCTTTGCACCAGCCTCAAGATTTCCTGTATTGGAAAAAAAAAAAAAAAAATAGCATCAAACCAAGCTTCTACTGTGAAATCAGGCTGTCTCATATTGTAATGCTAATTAATCATTAACTGCCCACAACGATCTTCATCCAGTAGAGAAATAGCTTTCTCTTTTCATGTTTAATTTCTTAGCAAATTAGTAGTGAGTGGATGGGTCTTTGATCAGGAAATGAAAGGATGATGAAGAACTGAGAGTTAAAACTTAGTGCCGAAGTCCTCTGGGTGGTTAATTTTTTAGGGCTCTGTGAACCAAGCAGTTAATTGAGAGCAAGCTTGCCCTACTTTTGTGACAACAAAAGTAGAAGGGATCAGTGTTGCTCATTTTCAAGTGGTTCCTATGTGTGTATTTGTATATGAGGAAGGGAGTACTGTTTATTATTAGCTCGTTTTGCATTGTTATGTATGAGAGAGAATGTAAGTGGCTGAATAGCAAGTTAGTGCTTATATTCTACAGTCAGAAACACTCTTGAAGTGCTTTGATAGGAAACCAAAAATACATCTTTTCCCTCTCACTTTTCATAAGTAGCTCAGCTTATACTGCTTCATATGTAAAAGCTTGGCAACTTTCATCTAATTTTAAATGTTCAGCAAAAATGATCTATATATACTTACAGAAAGGGGGAAAGAGAGGCACCTCAGGGGACTTTTGTTGGCCTGTTACAGTTATTCTGTTTCAAATACTGAAGGTATCTTTCAATCTTCTAACTCGATTGTTGATCCTAACGCTAATGAGTGACACTGTAACAGTTGAATGGTGGGATCTTCCATTGATCCATTATACACCTCATCCCAGCTAGGGCTGCAGAAATACCTTTTCACTGCAGATGCCCAAAGGTTATCACTGACTTGGCTTCAATTAGAATAGAACTTACCATCCTCAATCCAGCCCCCGGGGAGAAAATAATGGGATATCTGCCAAAGGAAAAAAAGTGCTGCTTGCCTGGGGTTGGAGAGCAAACAATGGGTGGACGCTGGGGCCAACCAGCAGACATTGCTGTTCGGAGTAGGTGCTTCTCTTTTATCTCCTCAAACAGACCTGCAAAGGTGAATAAAGGCTTTAAAAACAAAACAAAACAAAACAAAGATTGGTCAGGAAGATGGGGAATTTTGTAAGGCTCTTCTGTTCCATGCACACAAATATTCAGGCTCAGATCCTACACAGTGTTGAGCCAACTGATCAGCCTGTACTGGTGCACATATGGATGCTTTGTTGTAAGTGCCACCGAGGCCAAGGTTGTGGTGTGAGTGAAAGGCACCTATTGTGAGTTCCTCAGCAGGGGCTGCTTTGTTTCGGGGGGATTTAGGTGATTACATCTCAGGAAACTGACACACAAAGGCACTCAGATGTCACAGAGATTAGATGAGGTAGACAGAGTAGATATTAATGGACTAAGGAAGGAGGGCAACTGTTTTCCACCTCTTGGGGTGAGATGTCAGCCCATGGGGAGAGCTGGGGCTGCAGGTGCAGCTTCCCAACCAGCAGTCCCACGAGCTGCCCAACTTGTTGAGCCACTTTCATTCCCAGATGTAATTAAGGGTCTTGTTTAATGTGACAGGAAGGGAAAAGCACAGTGTTCTGGTGTTGTTTTCTTGGATCCTGCCAAGAGCAGGGTTTGTGGAGTATTACAGCAGGTAGCTGGCACAGGGAGCTCAATCGTGAGGTCCCATTTTTGGGACTGTCTAATATTGTTTTTCTGGAGCTAAATTGTTGGTACCAGAACAGATTGATGTCATGCCTATGGCATGTCCCCGTAGCTGAGAAAATCCTACTTAATGGAAAAGCAGCCCTTGTGTAAACAAAACAACAGCTCCATGCAAGGTTACAACCTCTGCCACCACCCTCAGTCTCCTAAGTCAAAATATGAGGTAACAGGAGGTGAGGTATTAAGAAACCGTGCTCTGTTCCCAGCCCTCAGACAAAACTGCTAAGAATAGAGGTGGGATGAGGAACGGGAAGGAAAGTCGGGAGGAGAAGTCAAACCATTTCCTTTGAGGCCCCAAAAGGGCCTGAAGAATTTCAGCGTTGACCTTCTTTCCCCTCTGTTCCGTATCCTGCTGGCCTTCTCTGGACGTCTCATCTGCTCCCATCACTGCCTGGATAACTGCAGTTTGTTTGGGACATTTTGGGATTCATTGACCCAGCTCAGTTTTGAATCCTACTAATATCATCAGTTTTACCAATAGCCCGCATCCACCACTGATTTCAGATTGAGACAGTGGTGTTTGGCTCTCCTCTGTAAATAGGCATAAATTAAGGTTGGGCACTTGAAGTGCGAGATGCTCACAGTTCAAAGATGCTTTTGGAAACGCCCATTCTGTGCTGGGGAGGCTGCCAGGAGCTGACATGTGTGGGCTGCATGTCTTCCTGCTCAATTGTTAATGTAGTGAAATGGCTTGGTTCAACTTCAGACATTGTGACCATGATTTAGGGGAAGAGTGCAATTACCTGAGCAAACACTGCTTTTGCAGGAGTTCTTTCAGCTCTACACCTGAAAAGTGTGATTAAAAATACAAAATGAAACAAAACCCATCTGCTTCTCTGTTTGCTTTTTTTTTTTTTCCCCCCTTTCTAAAAAAATGCCTGTCATTCATTTTGAGTTGGTAGTGGTAAAAGAGCAAGCCAATAAGGAGAAAATCTATTTCTCTCTCCCTGAAGGACTTCGCAGAAGTGCCTGTAGTGCAGAAATACAAATTGCCTTTAGATTTGAACCAGCCCTTGAACTGTGAATATTGCTTGCTGATTTTGGCACCTCATTACCAGCATTTCCATGGCATTTCCAGAAGAACAGCACTGCTCTCAGCGTGAGCAGATGACAAAGTTAAATTTGACTTTCAGACCCTTCCAAAATGACTAAATAAATAAATAAACCAAAGCGAAGTCAAAGCAAAGGAAAGCAAGTCACTAACTCTAATGTCTCTAATTATGCTGTGCAAGTCTCTAGAAATACTGAATTTTCTCATTCGGTGCCACTCTGGAAGAACACTTTAGTTTGAAGTTGACCTCATTAGTACAAACTAATGCACAAGAACCAAACTTGTACAGTTTAAAATGACTTATGTCAGCATCACCTGTCATAGGATGAATTGAGCTCTCCACATGTCTGATCACATCATAAACAGAGCACGGGGGAAATAAGAGCTTTTCACTTAATGATTTTCATTGTCAAACCAACATTCCAGGCTTTACTTGCTATATTGCTATTGCCTGAGTTTCTAAAGCCTTCCTTCCTCAATTCATCAGCTGTGTGTATTTTCAATAGTTGTGTTCTCTTTGCTCTAGGTGACAGCCTTTTTGTTGTGAATGGTGACAGCCTGCCATGATTTCCCATCCAGGGGGTGGGAAAATTAATAAACCAGCTTCACCTGCAAGGGACTTTTTGACAGACATGAAAGCTTCATTTCTTGCTGTAGGTATTCCCAACAGCTTCCATTCAGTAGGAAAGGATTTCTTCAGTCCTCACAGGAATGCACAGGAATCCTTTTGTTTTTCCCATGGAATCCAAGGAATAAGACAAAAACAGAGAGAATAACAATGGTTGTAAACAGCCCTTTTTGTTTATTACAATCTTAGGGTCAGTTTCTAGGCCCAGGCATACAACTTTCATACAAGACAGCGCAACTTCATGGCTGGTGGTGTACAAGAGCAAGCTGACTCTAGGAGTTTCCTGTTGTGAATCTCAGAAGTTTCATTAAGCTTTCATCCTGGTCCTCAGACAACAGCAAAGGATGCAAAATTGGTTTTGGATCTTCGTGTGCCGCTAACCAGATGAACCAAGTAATCAACCAGCCCATCAGACTTGTTACACGTTGGAAGTGATGCCATCAATGAACCTAACAAACTCATCGACTGTGTCAGGATTCCAGATGCAGGAAATCTTTCTTTCAGTAGCACAAGGCACATATAGGTTTGGACAAAACAGTGAAAGCACCTGCATGCTGTTCCCTGCCTCAGTTACTTCAGAAGTCTTGAGCATCCCTGGGTGTAGCAATTAGACAGATCAGTACAATGGGAAAGGCATTACAACAGAGATGTGATGACAAAAGGACTAACACAATAGAGAAGTGCCATAAAGGAGGGAAGAAGATTGCTCACCTGTATCAGAAGAGTCTCAGTTCACAAGAGAAAACTTGACCAAGGAAGGATCTCCAGGAAGAAATCCTCCAGTGGCACTCAGCCCTTAAATGAGGTCTAAGAGAGGAGCAGCCAGGCTCCACCCTTCAAGTTGCACAGCTGAATTGCCTTCACTTGTGCTCCCAGGGCTGACTGGGTCCTTTCCCCAGATGCTCAATCAGTGGTTTAGGCTGTGAGTCAGCAGTTACCATACACTGAGGCATCTCTTTTAGATCACTATGAATACATCTACAAGATTTGGCTGGCACAGTTGTATTGGCTAGAAGGCAATGTGTTTTCTAGATCCATGTTGCAGAGGAGTTGGCCTGGGTTTCCTTGTGAGTTCCCCTGAAGCTTTGTGCTTTTCAGAGCTAGCGCGAACATCTGATCTCTTTGTTCTTCTAGGGAAATTACATTGTTCTAAGAGCTGTCCCTGCAGACACATTTGGCTGAGCTGCCTTCCATAGGTCCAGGCATCCCATTGTCCAAATGTGCTTCCACTTGAATGGAAGCCATCAGTGTTTAACAACCTTCCATTGTAGCTTGTCCAAGAGATGTGACACAATTTTGACTGCAAATGGCTGATACTCCATAGCTTAAACTTTATCTAAGTAAAGACTATTGCATCCTGCCCATGAGAATCCTTAAGATCCCTTGCCTTGTTACACCCCCCAATTATACCCTTAACTTAATTACACCCTTATACATCACTGTTCCTACTCCACCAGTACCAGTACTATGGCATTCTCTACCAGTATGGTTTATTATCCAACAGGGAGGAAGGTAGCAATATCAGATCAAAGTTTCTGACATCATTAAGACATTGAGTAATAATACCTCATGAGTACTTCTATTGGAATGAGACTCCTCTTCTATGTGACAGACACTTGCTCTCCAGACAGGATCCATCTTCTTTTCTGTCTGGTAGGAAATCACTTGAAGACAGAGATTCTGAATCCATGCTAACAAAGTGATGGCAAAAGCAGATTGCTAGACCTAAAAAATTTAGTGGAAAAAAGAAGTCAATGAGGAGCAGAGAATAGGCAAAAAATACAGTTAAGACTGTGCACACTGACCAATGATATAAATAACTGGGCCTTTGATTTCTCTGTGCTTTTGTTTTCCCAATCTAAAATTTGGTATAATGATCCAAGTGAGTGATGTTAGTGAGGTGACAGCAGTGATATCTGTAGTCCCTAGAAGAAAGTTGCCAGAGAAAATAAACTATTCCTTGAGGTTTTGTGGTTGAAGAGTGCTTGATGTTGAAGAAGAGATTTTAAAAATCTACTAAGTGATCATCAGTTGTTCTTGCTTTTCAGCCACAAGTCAATTGTCTCAGCAGCAATCTACTGAAATAAAGGAGAGAGAGAAAAAAAAGAAAGTATTGACAGATGAGCTAGAGTCAATCATTCAATGGTAATAATGTAGTAATCTTTTGATCCAATATTGTGTATAGACGGGCAAGCAGAAAATGTACAAATGTACAAATGACTATAGAATTAATAGATGAGAAGGATTACTGATTTTTTTAGCCATCTATCTGTCCTATGCTAAAAAAAACTTGCTATGTATGTTTCCTTTCCATCAAGCTTAAAAACTGTGGTGTGATGGAAAAAAAACCTAAATCTTTGTCGCTTTTAAGAACAGAAAGTTGGCTTGGTTTGCTCCAGGTGTCAGCAGGTTAGCTAGTTTAGCAGCTGGAAAGATAGATTTCATATGTTATTTTTCAACATATTTTTTACTTTTATTTTTCAAAATTATCTCAGTGAGATTTCAGATTCACTTGTCAAAATCCAGAAATCTGCAGTGGCTTAATTTGCTGGGCTAAAGAAGTGAAGAGTGATTGAGGAAGCACTAAGTAATTAAATTGCTCTAGAGATAACATCTAGCTGACCTAATGGCTATGGTGTTTCTTCTTTATTTATTTTTTTTCCGAGTCTCCTGTGAGAGCTAGTCTACAATATTTGAAGTAATAAAAACTGTCTTCCAAGCAGCATTCATAATTTCATTTTATTAAAAGCATATTCAAGGGTCAGCCTTCAGCCATCATCTGGTTCTTTCTAAATGGTTTTAGTGAGGAGAACCAAGCAGCTAAAACCAGGTTGTCCTGAGAATGTACAGATCGTCCTTCTGATGTGATGAGCTGCCCACAGGTTCTGTGGCACAGAAATCTTTTTAAAATTTGACTCTCTCTTTCCAGGTTCACTGTGGCCCTGTGCAGGCAGCATAAGAATGGGGCTCAAGGAACCCATGCGGACATTCAGGTTGGAAATTAGGGAACATTTCTTCTCCAAAAGAGTGGTGATGCACTGGCATAGGCTGCACAGGGAATGGTGGAGTCACTGTCCCTGGAGGTGTTCAGGAACCACAGAAATATGGCACTGAGGGATGTGAGTTAGTGGGCATGGTGGGGTTGGGATGACAGTTGGACTTGATGATCTTAGTGGTCTTTCCAACCTTAACGATTCTATGATTCCATGATTTTGGCTCTGCTGTTGAGTTCCCAGTGACTGCTGTAGGGTTGGGTTTGGCCTCACACTGTGTGTCCATCCCACGCCAGTGGCATGCTGTGTTGCCGTGGGCAAGGCTTTCACCTCCTGTACTCAGTTTACACGTCAGGGGTAGGGAGGATCAGTTCTTGCCAGGGGCAGTGCAGTGGGTGAGGGGTCTCTGGATCATCTTTTCATTTGATGGCTGTGTGACAATCAAAGCTGCACCCCTTAAAAAAAAAAAAATAGCATGTTAGGTTTTATGAATGAGAAGCGTTGTACAAAAGCCAGCTGTTGTTATTATTGATGCTATTTACTTACTGGTCACATTTCTTCCAGAACTATGGAAAAAAAATCAATCAGCAGATTCACTTTGTTTATATTCAACTACACTTTCAGTGTTTGGAGAATGTTAATTTGCTAAACACGACTCCTTCCCCTAAAGCCCCTGGTTTTTCATAGGCACTGTGTGATGCCAAGGCATGGGTTCTGACCACCAGGGCTCTGCTTGGTGCATGGATTTTACTGCTGCTTTAGGAGAGGTAGTCCCATCACTCAACATGCCAAATGTAGCATCCAGGCTTCTTTGCATTTTGCCTTGTGATCCCACAAATGGTGGCTTGTAAGTGATCAGAAGAGAGGCTCAGGAGGACAGGCAAAGCATTCTGCTTTCCCCCATCAGCTCTGACTCTCTTTGCCAACAGTCCAGAGGAGCAGAAGCCAGCCTAGCAGTGCTGGGGTTAGTAACTGTAGTTTTGACAATATTTGCTCTTGGTATTGTGAAAGCTTTTTAGAAATGGTCCCAAACATGTGGTGCTTCTCAGTTTCTGGTGAAGCTATCCACAGAAAACACAGCGTTCCCACAGCAGAATAACAGCTTGTGGTTTAAATAAGTGTTGTTATTTCTGATTTGCAGTAGGTGTACATGTATGTTTTGGTTCAGTGACTGCCAGATACTGTAAATTAGTATTGATTTCCTTTTCTATTTTAAGCTTTTCTAAAGAAAAGGCATCCCACATGCCTTCAGCTTTCTTTGCCTGTACTTAAAGTGATACTTCTTTATTTCATTGTTCTTACTCATCCTTATTTTAACAGCTGCACTCCAAGTTGCCCAGGTTCCTGTTCAGTTTCTGCTGTTTACAGCTGTTACATCTGGCCATTTTTGAGAGCACACCAACAAGACAGAACTTGTGGCAAGAAGTTCCTTATTGATGCTGGTGTGGCAGCCCTCATGCCAGGGGTGACGCTGCCCTGGGGCTGGAAATCAAAGAGTTTCAGGTAGCAGGCCTCCGCAGCTAAGTTCTCTGGACAAATTTGGCAGCTCAGTGTCACCATGAAATAACACAGACCTGGATTTGGAGATGGAGGCAGAAGTCTCTATCCATTCGTTAACTTGTAAATCATTGCACCTCAGCTGTGTTTCAGATTTATGTTGGTTAGAGGCATGGATAAATATGGCAGTCTTTAAAGCTTATGTTCCAGCAGTCACTGCTTCAGCAAGATGATGGTGTATAACATTTAGCTGTTTACGTTCAACTTTCTTTCTTACCTCGAGTCTGTGGCGAATGTGGAATGCAAAATTAATTGGAACAGGCTCAAAGCCTTGGCAAGTGCTTTGCTTGTGACATTACTGATTTCCCTGAGGAATAGTTCCTGATATTGATTTTGACAGAGACTGCAAAGCCTCTCTCTGCAAAGGTTCTCCTCATAGCCAGGCAGGGCTGGAGTGCAGCTCTGGGATGTGCCGAGAGGATTATTCATTAGAAATTAATGTGCTTAATCTCAAAGTATGCTAAAATATACATAACTACTTTATGATTAAGATATCAATCTTTGAATTTCTGTCTCTACGGTTTTGGCCTAATTCCACACCGGCTTTTGGAAAGTCATGCAGGAAATGATTGGCTCTTTGGAGACGCACATTATCTGTGAAATCTGAACTAGACTTTTCTAAGTTAGTTTGTGAAAGATAAGCAATTAAGATTCCTGCTAACACAGAGAGCCGCAGACAAAACTGGATCCAAAAGGTAAAAGTGAGGAAGGGCAATTTCCTCAGTGCAGGAAGTAATCAAGAACTCCTGAGCATATTATGGTGGAACTGTCTGGTACGAACCATGCTATTAGGTCTGAGCATTTCAGGGAATTGCACTATTCTGTTTGGCTTTAGACCATTGCTACGCGTGGGGATTGTACTGTCAGGGCTTTATTAAAAAGTAATAATAGCATACTGTCTCAGGACAAGTACGGTGTCATCACCTTTCTTGCTCCTTATTTACAGATCTCTTCCAAGCCAGTGGAAGATTTACCCCAGTAATTCCACCATGCCTGATTAAAGTATTTTGTGCAGTTTTTGATGCAAGAAGCAGTCTGGTCATTTGTGCCACATGTGCACTGCTGTTTCTACCCTGCACAGGTGCTAGGGTAATTACCTGAATTCTTCCTTTTCTAACTGTTTCAGTGCCATGTCATGAGTTGTCTGTTCTATCCACTCCCTGAAATAACAGCATGAGACTGGTGATGGTTCAGTCAAAAACATGTCACAGGCCTTTTTGGAAATAGAAGCCATAATTCTTCCTTCAAGGATTGCCTTGCTCTGTAGAAAGGCAGTAGCAAGAGGAAATAGCATCTCCAGAGCAGAGTGCTGTTCTGTCCTGCACATTGAGAGCATTGGGTCCACAGCGGCCCACCAGGGAAAATTGCATCTCTGGTATCAAAGTGGGTGAGTGTCCTGGTAAGTCGAGGATCTCTTCAGTTTTATCCAAAAAAGGGGTGAGAAGATCCTGCCTATGAATATCAAGTTACACACATTTCAGCTCTGGTCTCAGCCTTGTGTCCCCTAAAGTACTACTTCAAAGCTTCCTTGAAACAAAACGCAGCTGGTCTCAAATGCTGACTTTCAGGGACTTGTCTGGAGCTAAGCAGTTGCAAGATTCAAATAATTCCTCCCATCCCACCTCACCTGAAGTTTCCTTCATCTCTTTTCCCTGTATTAGACCACTCAAGAGTTATTTGTGGTAAGGGTTTGCTCTTCAAGGAGCTACAATAAATCAGCATAAGCTGTTTCTCCACATTGTTCTGTGCTGGCTCCAGCCAGTTCCTGTTGAGCTGTTTGTTTTGAAATATATCCGTACTATCCAGTTCTGTTTCTGCTCCATTGATTTATGCTGCCTACACTTTCTCGTGTTGTTGAATAACCCACCCATGGTACTCCTCCAGGAGGTCACGGCAGCTCTCAGATCTTCTAACTCTATGCTGATGTGGAATCACCATGATTTTGAAATGCATTGTGAAACCAGGCTTGCAGGCATGTGCATGAATAGCTGCTGAAGGCAAAATCATTGTTCATGAAAGCAAGCAGGGATGTTAAGACTGAACCCTAAGTTTCCATCATGTTAGACAGTAGGATGCTGCCCACACAGTAGCCCCTCTGGACATGCTTGAATGGGAACTCCCAAGCTTGAGCAAATGGGGAAAGGGAGAAGATATGAAGCAGGATTTGCTGGAGGAGTTTATTTTAAAATTGTTCAGTTTAGGATCTGGACCATAGTGCAGTGCTTTGATGCAGCCTCTGGAGCTCAGAGGCTGTTCACAGGCTGAACTACTGCAGTCTCGAACCACTGCTAGTCGCACTCTATCTGGAAAAGGTGAGTTCCTCCAAATTTAGAGCTCAGATACCCAGGGGTATCTGTGCTGATTACAGCTTTTGAAGGTCCCCAGGGAATGAGACTCCACTGATGCTACAGGGTCAGTGCTGTTAAGGGAAGGTCAGCGTAGACTTGACTCCAGATTAGCATTTTTCTCTGACTTGGGAAAAGTAGCAATTGAACTGCTGGTCTGAGGTAACGTCATTAAACTCCAGTGATAGCTGGGAAAGGATATGACTACCCAGGTTATGGACCTATGTAGTAAAGCTGAGCATAAATGGGCCAGCAGAGTAAAGGCTATGAATGTGTTTCCCCTAAAAGCTGAGCAGCAGAGCAAGCAAAGTGCTTGAACTTAATAAACTGCCTCTCTGAAACACGGGTTGGAATTCAGAGCAAAGTCATCACTTCTTGTGCCCTCAGAGGAACATAACTCTAAGTTTCCTGGAGACAGAAAGAGCACTAAGGGACACACCTGACTCCACCATCAATTTTCCTGTCTATCTGGAGTCACCAGCCTGAATGCTTGGCTAGCTGGCGAGGTCACATGCATGTACAACATGAGAGAAACGCCCATAAATTTCTGTAATCCCTGCCCAAGGCCAAGTTCTGCCAGGGTCACCTAGTGCTATAGATCACCTCTGACTCAAATAGCAGATTCAGATACTTCCTTCTTCCAAACTTCAAGTTCACACCCAACACAAGAGGGTCTAGAGCCCTCCAGAGGAACATCAGCAATGTCTGTTAAGTGAACAAAGCATTTCATTCTTCATCATGTGTGCTTGGAAATAGTTATCTGGAAATTTCTGAGAAACAAGTAATCTTTATTGGTAGAAAACTGGAATATTGCTTAAATCTTGATAAAGTTACCATCTGCTGAATGCATAATCTTATTGTTGGGAAAGATAGCTAATCTTCAGAATCAGCGAGGACTTCTGGCTAACACAAGAATGCATACCTGTAATTGACCTTCTATGACAATATCCTGTGGAAGCAAAACAGACACACGTGACGTAATAAATTTAAAGAGTTTGTGGTCAGCTGTCCAGATCCTTCTCCAAAAGTGCCACCAGTGAAGTATTTTTCATACATAAGTATTTGTTGTTTTCAGCATTTCTAAGAGTCAGGCTGATGTCAGCTGATAAGTCAGCTGCAACAACACAGCCAAACCTAATAATCAATTCGGTAAGCCAGTCGTTTTCTGGCAGCCTCAACTAATTCAGAGCTTTCCTGTTGGTTAATTTTTAAAAATTACTTTAGAAATTTGGTGTCACATACTCAAAGCTCCAAAAATCAGATGTTCTTTGTTAGAGTTGATCTGGTTCTGGCAAAAGGATCATATCAAATGAATGCATAGTTGCCTTCCATAGAATAACATGGTATTAGGTTAAGTTGCCAGGGTCTGATTCAGGAAATCACTTCTGCATGTGATTAAATCAGTCCTAACGCGGAACAGCATTTATAAATCCTTTTGTTTTTAAACTTTAATCTTGTACTTTGTAAGTCCTACTGACTTTCATGAGCCAAAGGGAGTTTCCTAAGGTTAAGCAAATACTTAAATATTGTTCTGAAGAGGAATGCTTTCAAATAGGGTGGAAAATATTGGATTTTTTATGTATGTAGTCATAGAAATCTTGTCTTCAACACTTTGGTCTAGTCCCAGTGTTCTTAAACTTTCTCTGGCAATGAAGTATCATACAGGGGCCTCATGGAAGTGCTTCAGCCCCTAGAGGACAGGATGTGAAGATCATACCATCCTGCTCACAGCCTGACCCACCTGCACAGGGACACCTGGGTGTGCTGCTGGCTCTGCAAGGTGCAGCTGCAGCACAGCAGAGGCTGATAAAGCCATGGGAGAGCAGCCCAGTGGAGATGAGGGAGTAAGGGCTGGTTGTGGCATGCACCATTACCTCCTAATGGCAGATAATGGTAAAAACTAATATTGTCCTGCTGCTTGTTGTGCTAAGTAACCACATCTGTTTGCCAAGCTGTGCAGTACCAAGAGGCAGAAACCTCTTGTGGGGAGGGAGAGAGAAGAAGAAGGCAATGGGAAGAGCAGGGACATGTGAAAACTGTTGCTTTTGCAAACAGTAATCAATAACTGCTTTCCTTTAACAGCCATAATTGCTATTGCATTGGTGAGGTGAGAGCTGGCATGCTTATGCCCCAGCTCATGCCTTGGTGTTGTGTGTGACACACTCATGGATCATGGGGAAATGTGTGATCACATACATCCGAGGTGCTGTCTTGAGCAGAAGCCAAAACAGCACTTTGGCACCATTTCAGCAGTTATTGTTCCACCAGCCCAAGCCAGCTGAAGCATCCAAAGATGTGTCAGGTTGATCTGCCTGTGGTTAGAAACTAGAACTCATGGGTTCAGGCATGGGTCAGTCTGCACAAGAAAGCTTTGCAGGCTGTGAGCCATGCCTTCTACCTGAGATTTATATGTTTGCAAGGATTTCATCACTGAAATTGCGAGAGCTGGAGGTGAAGAAATTTCTCCCCAGGATCGATTTGGTGCATGGCCAATACGCAAACCTTGCTTAAACAACACTGCCATTGAGGTACTGCAGTCATACAAGCCTCAAAAGGTTTCTGTATTAATTTCAAACAATTCGCAGAAGCCCCTCCATTCAAAGCAATCTCAGACATGTTTTTTCCTATCCAGCCATCGCAGTTTGAGAGCAGGGGTGTCTGCAAAAATGTTTACATACAGTGAAGCACTGCTGTCGCTCAAAGCAGTCACTCACTGTACTTGCACACCAGCTTGCCAGGGAAAATATGTGCACCATGTATTTGTTACACTGCTTTCAGGTACTCTTTGCCAAATCTAAACTTGTTTTTGGAAAATGGAAGATGAGGGGAAAGAGCCAAATCTTTCAGTCCTGGCTCAGATGAAGCTCAGACTAACTTCAGGTTTTCAAGGTGTTGAAGCATGGCCCCTGTGCACAGAGACCCTGAAGATGGAGCTGCTTCTGTTTGGATATAGCAATTTGAAGATTTCACTCCTTGTTTGTCACATCTTATGGTCATAGGACAAAACTTTGAAAAGTGCCTGAGCCGTCTTGACAGCTACTGCCATTAGGGCTCTAATGGCACAAACAGTCCCAGAGATTTTATTCAGTATTTTGCTCATGACAATTGTCATGCTGGCATGAGAAGTTGCAGGAACACCTTGCTTCTCTGCAGCACGAAGCTTTTTCTTTTCTCGCTGGCTTCACAGAAGATGAGGGGGCTGAGATCTAGCAGGTTGCTGTCAGGCAGAGTCACGGTGCTGTGGCAGTGTGAATGAAAGCAAAATTAGGGCTTTGCTGTCAGGGGGATGAAATATCAGCAAGCATTTCCCAGCAAAGATCTCTTCAGCAGCTTCCCATTAGTTTTCATTCACTTGATGTATTTCAGTGCTTATATTCAAATCATATTTCTCTGTGAAAGGAAGGGCTGTGTGCAGTCAGGCGAGCTGTGCCTTAATCTCTGTGCGTAGTCAGCAAGAAAAAGGTTGGTGCTACAGAGAGTAACAGAGGGTTTAAGTAAGACACTGCAGAGAGGAACTGCCAGGAGCTGGGAAGCAGGAGAGATGCACACAGAGCCTCACTGACTGTGTTGGCCATTATTGCTATGGGTACACGTGGATCTTCCCTTGCATTTCCTTAGTTTCTCCATCAGAGACTGACAATGGCAGCACTGCTTGGAGTCTCTGCTGAGCTGGGAGAAGTGGAACATGCAAAGCAGTGATGGCTCTGTTCCAGAAAGGTGATATTCTCCAGTGTGAAATGAGCAGCCTTTCCATCTCTCCCACCTCTGGCACCAAGGGACATGGTTTGGTGGGCATGATAGGATGGGTTGGGGTTGGACTGGGTGATGTTAGTGGTCTTTTCCAACCTTAATGATTCAATGGTTCAGTGTCTGGATCTATAATTGTAGGCACTGTGCTCTGGAAATCAGGTTGTCTAGCAAGTGTATTGATAACGTGACAAATGTTTCGATAGGAGAGGCTGAAAAGGAAGAAATGACTGTTCCACACCAACCATTCTGAAACCTTCAGTTAAATTTTCTTTAATTTGTAAGTGTTACATGGCCTAACCTCAGCCTTGCTTATTAGTGTTGGACAGATACCAGAGCATCTCTGCATTGCTGTGTTTGAAGTCTCTCTGTTAAATTCTTCTGGTTTCAATGAGTGCTCTTTCAAGCTGTGTAGCATGAGCAAATACTTTGAAGCGGGTGCTAATCAAAGAGCTAGAGCAGGATTTTCTACATCATTCACATCTTTTTTTTAAGTTTATTAAGATCAAAGCAGTTTACTGCAGTGAATACACTGAAAATGTATTCAAAACCTGAATCAAAATAAAGTAGAGGAAATCACTAGCTGTAAACTGCTGCATTATTTTGTGTTGTCAGTTCATTTAATGTACTGAGAATCTCAAACCTGTAGCCTCCTGACTGTTTTGCGTTGCTGATGTTTCAATGACAGATGGCACTTGTAAAGGAACACATCATGTTTATGCTCCTGGATTTTGAAAAGTCACCTGTTGAATTCAGTAAAACTTACATAATCTCACTGCTACTTCCACTGCATTTCGAGTCCAATTCTGCACAGACTTTGCCTGATGAAAAGACTGGCAAAGTTCATTCAACTTTAGTCATTCTCACAGTGAAGATAAAGCATCATTGCTGCAACTGTAATATTTGAAGATAAATATTTCTATAAAGTCTTTCAAAAAGAAATGTCTATTAGACTTTTTTCATGGTTCCTCTCTCTAGTTGTACAGTGGCTATGTAAAAGTCCCTTTAATTGCCAAAGGGAAGCCACTGTTTGGGGGCAGAAAGTGTAATAGTAAGATTACCAGAACTGGGGTCAAAAGATAAAATTCCAACCTCAAAGCAAAGCTCTGGACTCTGTATGAGATTTGTTGTTTTGCTGAAATTTCATCTTTAAGAGTGCTCTGAAGCATTTGACAATGGTGCAAGGTAAAATGTTCAGGACCATTTGTATTTGAAACCACCAAGATATGCCAACTCCATGACACTCAAGGGCAACACTTCCACGGTAGGAGCAACATGAAAGCCTCAAAGCCAAGGCGTAGCTACCCATCCCAAGGACTGATGCTGATGCCCATCTGCATTTTGAACTTGTAGCAGATCCTGGTTGCAAACAGATAACAAAGTCTGTCCCATGTGCAGGGACATGCTTGTGTCTGCCCTGCTACCAGCTGGTAAAGATCGAGTCGATGGTAGATTAGGATGGCAATCTGTTTTCCCTTGTTAAAACTCTCATCAGCCCTTATTTAACTTGCCTTGTATTTGCTGATATCTGAAATGCTGTTGCTAAATTGAATGTGCTGTTTTTGCTTACGGCTCTGAAGCCTTTGTGCGTTGATTGCTGAGTTAATGATTTATACCTTAATGCTCCATTTAGGGCCCTCGTGTTTATCGCTCATGGCGCTGGGGAACACTGCGGCCGTTATGATGACTTGGCCCAGAGGCTGACAGAACTTAACTTGTTTGTATTTGCCCATGACCATGGTGAGTAGCCTAAAACAGTACTTGATTTACAGCAGCTCAGGACATTACTGGGGCAAATGCCATTAAAGCTACTCAGCAGTGAGAGAAAAGTCAATAAAATACACATCACATCAGCGTAAATGAGAAAGGGAGTATTTGAAGCTTTGTAATAATCTGCATACTGAATCTATAAGATACAACTCTATTTCTCTGGGTTTTCCTCAGTCTTACCATTAATGTTACTGCTGATGCTGGTTTCACTTCTCTGTTAAGGACTATTTCTCTTTCACCTATCTCTTGGGGGTGAGGAGGGATCATCCACTGTGGTAGTGGGACTGGGAGCCACTTTTGCTGGATTCATGGTTCTCGTTGTCCTAAAAATCACAGTGGAGGGTCTAAAATGACATCATAATTTTCACGCAGCAGTACAACTAGATAGCTGCATCCTTGATGCAGGGAATCAATGTGGTTAATGATGGCAGTGAAAAAAAAGCAAGGTCAGTTCTGAGCTGAAAGGCGAAATGGGATGGATTTCAGGGCAAATCTGATCTCCTTCTGGCAGATCCTCCAAGGACATTGGAAAGCATAGGAAGCGTAGGACTACAATGGAAGGTTCTAGCTCTTCTCAGAGACAAGACTGCTGAACTTGAGCATGAAGATCCTGAAAGCTGTAGAAAGGAGAACAAGTGAGACATTGCACCCTTTAATCTGAGAAAGGAAAGGCAGTGTCTTATCAAATTCAAGTACTCACAGCTTCACCTTGGTTTTGCTTTCATGACTCCTTTTCACTCACAGCACTGCACTTGGTACACAGAATTCTCCCTGACAAAAAAAAAAAAAAAAAAAGTATCCAGTCCTGAATATATAAACTACTGTCTGTGGTTTCACAGACAGCAGATCATGTGCCATGCAGAGCTGACTTCACAAAGACAGTTGACCTGTGCAAAAGTATCTCTGCTGACCACAGGAGTCTGTTTCTCCTTAAATGGGCACAAATGTTGTAAGTGTGGTCTCATTCACGTCAATATACTTCCCTCTGATTCGAACATAGGCTAGTGGGAGTGTGCAGCCATCCCAGCAGGAAAGATCTCCATTCCTCTTTTGGTATCTATATGGCACAAAGTTCATGAGAAAGGCAGAGGCATGGACTATGTGCTGTTCACCCTGAAGCTGCTCTTAGTAGACAACAATGTATGCAAAAGGTGACTGAAAAAGACACAAGCAATTTGTTCAGATGGCTGGCCAGGGCCCAGCACCCCAGGACTGTGGCTGCTCACTGTGCATGCTTAGTAGGCCTTCATTCCTTATTCCCTTAACACTCAGTAACGGTTTTGAGGAGTTGAAATAGCAATATTTGAAGCAATGAGTCTAGAAAAAGTGATAGAGCACTGTATTTATTGCATGGATTTGGTACAGAGAATGACTCTTCTGTTGGTGGGAAGGGGCTTTGGGGTGAAGGATCCTGTCAGGTGTTTATTGTGCTGCATAAAGAGACAGTTATTTGCTCTCTTTTCCTTGACTTTTTTTTTACTAGAGAAGCGTAGGTATGTTGTGTTTTTCTTCCCATGGACAGAATTGCTGAATTGATCAGTTCACTTAACACACTTCTGGTTGCTTGGGCTGCTTAAGAGCTTCATTCTCTCTGTCAGATGTACAGTATTCATTGTCAACTCAGTTTGGTTTTCATCATCACAAGAGGAAGAGGGCAAAGAGGAACCTGAAAGCAGAACACTGAAAACACAGTTGTACTACACAAAGAACTCATTTAAATGAGACTGGATTCACTAAGCTACAGAGACAATTAATGTATTTTGGGCTCTGTAAAATAATTTTTCCACCTAAAGAGGTGAGTGGTGAGGACAGACCTTGTCTGGAGTAATACAGTTACAGCCTGAGCTGTAGGACAGGGACTGGGCTCTGAGCACCTGTTGGAGCTGTAGGTGCTCCTGTTCAGTGCAGTGGGGTTGAACTGGGTAACCTTTAAGGGTCCCTTCCACTACGATTCTATGACACACACCTTCACTGCCAAATCTACCCAGAGCAAATGGAGGATTATAACTTTTCTCCACTGTTTTCCCCTTCCCAAGTCACCTCACTGGTGCGTTTCCTCATTGTGTCCCATCCTTCAGATATCTTTGGGTAATATTAGTTATTCAATTGCATTAGCAAAATAATTGCTTTCCCTTTGTAATTTTTTATGGTAACTCTTAAGGGCTTGGTGTAGATTTTTTGATCTGGATGTTTATTCTTGTTCTGGAATACTCATGGATACATTCCCCAATACAGGCATGATAAATACTCATGGATACATTTCCCAATACAGGCATGATATTATTCATGCAGTTCCACTGCAGGGCTAGCATGATTTCCCAAATGAGTTGGGAAGTTGCTATGGCTGTAGTGTGTGTGACTTGACTGATTTATACAGTGTCTGTCCTTCAGTCAAAAGAAGGAAAAATAATTTCCATTTATACTGCTGATTCTGTAAAAGCTTATGCATGGGCTGTAAATCTCGCTGAAGGCTGCTCTGCACCACTGATTCTTGTTATGCAAGGCTACAGCAAAACGGCTGGCATATCACAGGGTAACAGTGCTCATCTGAATTTGTGTCTTCCTATTGGCACCAGAGAAGTGGCACCAGCTTGGCTTTCTCAGTGTCTCAGAGTATGTTATTAATGCATTTGCTCTTTCAGATATTTCACACTAACCTCAAGACAGCTGTATCTCATAGCTACTTATTAGAAACTTTCCTCAATAGTGGTGAAAACTTATTTCCAGAAGACCTCTTAGGTTTCCTTTACACCTAATGCTGTTAAATTGCTTTGTTTAATATCAGCCTCACGGCAGAGAAAAATGCTATTTCTTTGTAATGCAGCATTTCATTCTGTGGTCTCTTGTGTTTTAATAGGCAGGTAATGGTTTTCCATGGTTTCTGAATGAACCTGGAGTGCAGCTTCATGAGTTAAGGTTGCTGAGATGACCCTGCTATGTATTTCTGCCAGGTTCAGCTTCGTTGAAATGAAATTTCACATTTTGGTTTCCTTCCTATATTACTGTTTATTATGTCAACATTCTGATGACAGAGAGACAGACGAATACATTAGGTTATTGGCAATCAATTTAGGGAAGCCCTCTTAGAGGGAATACCCATGGGAGAGTCAACAAACTGGAGCGATATGGTAATTCTTCACGGACCTGCAGACAGATTGCAGCTCCTTTTGTTATGTTATCTTTCGGGTGAAGCAGAAAGCCAAGGAAGATGAGAATAAAGGATAGAGAATGTGGCTTTGTTTCCCCTATCCAAGCATTTTCTGTTGGTAAAGCACATGATGTTCCTGCTATCCTCGTCTCACTTCTGAAACATCTCATTTGCTGGCATCTTATTTGTATGGTTGCATTACATGGCTTGAAACCAGAACGACAGTTTCACCTTCAAAAGTACATGTCAGCTAATCATGGTTACAAAAGCATTCCAAGATCCAAGGTCCACAAAAATACATTCACTTAGATCTTACACTTCTAACAGTGATGGCACAGAACATCTTTTTCACTCAGAATTGCTGGTGCTTCTTATGGGTAATGAGTAATGGTCTTCTGGTATGCAAATGAGGAAAGTGAATTACTTAGCCCTAACCAGGCAGCAGATTTTAGCCTTTAGATTTGCTTGAGGACAGTGCTTTGCAATGCTGGTGAGCACTGCAGATGGGCTAAGAGTCCCTCTCAGATACCTACTGCTGCTTGTGCTCCCCATTAATTTCCTTGTTGCTTTCTCTGTTTAAGTGCGTATTTTTAAAAAGCAGAAAATAGCTGTAGGCTTTTAAATGCTTCAAATATTAGTTGTTTTTTTTTTTTTTTTTTGCAAGTGATTGCTGTGTTGTTCTTGCAACTGTTAAAAGACCATTTTGTTGATGAGAACAGAAGGCTTTTATTTATTCATAGCACTGGGAAGGATTGGTCTGAAGAGAAAGGTTAAAAAGGACTGAGCACAGACAAACTGGGAGGGGGGGAAATGACTAAGAAGGATGTCAGCACTAATCAGAGCATTAATAAAAACGAGGATGCTGCAGTGAGAAGGAACCGCTCATGGACACCAGAATGAGGGAATGTTCCTAGAGAGCAACACTCCTGGTGATGTGAAATCACTGGGAGTCTGGAAATATCAGCATTGCAGGAGTACAAAATACTGTCCCATACTGGTGTGTTCCCTTTTGGGCTTCTTCTGAATTCATGTATTTGTTCACCTAGCAGTGGCAGTTCCAGGGCAGAAGGAGACCCAGCAGCAGAGTGAGTTCCCCTCTCTTCCTCTGTATTTCTTCTGCATGAACACCAACTCTTCACAAATCCTCTTCACAAATCCTCTTCACAAAAGCTCTCTTTCAATATTTTTACTAGTGGTTCCAAACAGAAAATTCCTAACCTAGAAGGAAATTTTTCAGAGCTCTGGATTAAATTCCACAAGTACATTCCCTATGGAGAAATTAGCCTGTTTGTTCTTCAGATTATAGCTACTTGTCCATCTTTTAGTATTTTATGATCATTTATTTGGATTGGAGAGAGAGCTGCTAAGTGGTGATTAATCTGTCCTGCTGTGGTACAAGTACATGGACATAAATCTGTATATATAACTTCAAAAATTGCCAGACTGAGAACCTGTGTCAGAGCAAAAGTAACGGCGATATAAGGGAACACTTAAATGATTCTTTGACCCTTGATCTATGTTAAGTGTCCTATGGACCCGTGAGTCCCTGCTGGAACTCATCCATTCTCCCCTTGTAACCCAGGGGATGATTGAGCCATAAACATGCTGCTACATGAAAAGCAGTGATGGCACCTCAGGGGATATAGCAGGGAAGAGTCATGCTGGTCTTCCCCATCACTCAGCTTTTCTCTTCCTAGCATCCCCTGTATGTTAATAGGAGCCTATAGGGGACAGCTTGTGGCTGGGCTGGGCTGGCAGAGCACAGCCAGTGCTGTTTTATCCCTGTTTTGACTCCAGATTTGGTACAGTCCCCAGCCGGTCTGGCTCTCCCTGGCCTTTGCTTCTCTAGATGTTGAACAAAGGTAGCAGTCAGACTTATCTGCCCTCCAGGGCAGACATGAGGAATGCTCAGCATGCTCAGGACACGCAGGAGGTAAAACCACAGGGTTTTACCAGCGGTTATGGGGTGAGAGTTCAGATACTACAGAACATTGTGTAGTTTCTGTAGGCAGTGAGAAAATGTAGGATTCTGGAGCAAAGGCCTCCTATAAAACAAACAGCTAATGAGTAAACTTCCTCCTGCCATCCACCTCTGCTGACAGGTGACCGCTGGTCTTGTAGCAGTGACAGTTTACTAAGGAGAAGAGGTCTGAACCTCTTTGAAAATATAGGCAAAATGATTCATGCTGCTTAAAGGTCTAACTTGCCCTGTGTTCTTGAATGCACTCTCTTAATTGGATGATGCATTTCCTCTTGCTGTCTCTCAGTCTGCTGCATGGGATTGGGTTCTGTTGGTAGCAGTGAGCATGCGTATCTCAGAGGAAAAAGTGATCAGTATAGACAAAGTGATCTCTGTATACCTCTTACAGTACAGGGATGCTGAATAGTGCCTATAAACATACCAGAATACAGCGTAGCCCAACCTCAGGGGATAACCTGTGGGGTAACAGGTAATTGTGAGTGCTTTGAGAAGAGTTTTACTGAACAAAGCTGTGTAGCAATTTTTGAGCAGTTTGTCATAGACATCTGCAGCCCAATTTGGCTGAAGTCATCTCAGAAGCAGACCTGTCATGTCAGTGCGAGCCCTTTG